TGCTGTCACCTGCCCCTCTGACCTCTTTTGCTCTTCCGGCTTCCATTTCTGTTTCTACAATAGGACCTACATTATGAAATATGCATGTTTAACATCAAAATAGGTAAGCTCTCATTAATAGAAGATTTCATTTTTCTTCTGGCAGTACAAAACAAATATTGAACAAATATTTAAATTAGGGGGACACCGGATTATCATTCTTCTGGTGGACTCAATAGGATTAGTGAATCAAATAAATAATGCTTACAAAGAAAAGAAAAAGTTAAACATGCCTTTGATATTTGAGCCTGGGTGATTGGGAAGATAGAGTTGCTGGTAGCAAAATTCAGGGAATATGCTAGAATGTAAGTTTAGAGAAAGCTAGTGAGTTCAGTTTGGAAATACACACACACACACACACACACACACACATATGTCTATATATATAATTTTTAAAACATATTTATAGTTTATTTTTTAAGAGAGGAGAGAGAGAGAGAGTGCATGCGAGTGGGGGAGGGGCAAAGACAGAGGAAGAGAGAATCCAAAACAGGCTCTGCATTGTCTGCATAGAGCCTGATGCGGAGCTCGAACCCACAAACCCTGAGATCATGACTTGAGCCAAAATCAAGAATCAGACACTTAACTGACTGAGCCACCCAGGGCCCTCCAGTTTGGAAGTACATTGATGTACTTACGAGGATACGCCAGTGGACAGAACAAAGCACAGTTGGAAATGTTCCCATGAAGATTTGCAGAGGGGTTATATTTAGACATGTGCACTGAGAGAAATTTACATTCGGGAAGATATCGCAAAACTGTTTAATTCACTGAATATTATATTCATTTACATCTTTATTTTATACAAAGGAAAATCTCCTACTGTGGCATATTTATGCAAATCATAAATTTTAGAAAAATCATGGAATTCCTCAGAACATTTCATTTGTTGTATATCTGTAAGCCTTTTCTTAAACCAACTTTTTGTGCTAAAATGATAATAACTACATCTATTTAAAAACAAAACAAAGGACTAACTTATTAATATATAATGTAGTAGATTCTTTCTGATATTCAAATCCCATTTGAATAGTGGTATGCAGTGTTGTGCTTCTTGGTTGTCATGGCAACTGCATCTCAAGTTTACAGCATCAAATCTTTATTTTCTATGCATTTTTAAAAGACAAGGATGTATAAAATAACAAGTTATATAATGGCTCCTTTATGTTTTATATTGATATAACAGATGGAAATGCACCTCTGGTGATGTAAAATATACTTCAATTATAGACAGAACGCACTTTAATGGTGAAAATGTAGAATTGGGCTAAGAGGCTATTATTGATAAATATACCAACATTTAACAACAGAGGCTTGAAAAAAAATGTTAGCTACCGGAAAGTAATTTCCATCTTCTGCTAAATATTAGCTATGTATGAAATAATTGGTTGAGATTTATGAAGATGCAGTAATTATGATTTTGTCTAGTTCTGTTTTAGCTACAATAATGTTATATATTAAGTGAAAACTTAATAGTCTCTTATTTTGCAGCTTTCTCTTTGACACACAGAGAGTAGAGACTATAAGTAGTCTCTACGGTTAGGGTTCTCTACATAAAATAATAATCTCTGTAATAGATAAATAAAAATGGCTTATGCCAATATTTTATTTATTAGGTCAAAAATATGGTAATTTTCCAACTTCAATAAAGTGCCCTTATATTTAACTTATAGCAAATCAAGTGTATTTTTGCATTTAAATGAAGAACACAGACCTCTTTAATGGTAAATACAGGTGAAAGAATTGAAGTACGAGGAAAGAATTAAAAATTTCAAAAGTTAGTCAAAGGGTCTGTTTGTTATATAGATAGAAATTACCTTCTTACTTGGAGCATCCATATAGAAGTTGAATTAATATATAATGGAGATAATTTCCAAGATAATTCTTTGTTTAATGCACTCATGTGGATGTTGACCCTGGTGAACTTTAATACCCTCCTTTAACCTGAAAGCTTCAATAATTACATGCAATTATTTGCCTTGATACAGAGTTGTGAAAAGAAAAGCACAGCACAAAGCTCGATGTATTATAAAAACCAACAGTGGCTAAAATACTATTTTTATTTTTAAGGATTATTTTATCCAGAAAACACAAATAATTTATAGGTAAGCAATTAGAATATTAAAATTTATGCCTCAAAATTGACCTTCTCCAAAATAAATTTCTATGAATATTTAAAGCAATGCTGGGCAAAAAGTGGCAGCATTGATTTCCCTCTCGGGAAGAAAATAGGTAATGTGTACAGGAAGTGACAATGTGCTGCCTTATGTTGATGGCGATAGCTCTCTCTTCTATTTGTGACTGCATGCAGCTAGGGAATGAACCATCTGGGCTGAAATGATTGGTTTTGTTGCCCTTCTGATTTTGCTGAACTCACTATTTAAAAAAATCTGAATCAATAAGCTATTCAGACAATTGTGCAGATAGGACTTTTTATTCTTAAGTTGATTTGGCATGTGGTGGAGTTTAGTATGAATCTCATCAGAGGAGAGGCCCGTTTCCAAGCAGGGAGCTTCAGGCTAAGATTTCTGTTGCAAGTAAGTCCAGAAACCCACCTATTAAAATATGACTCTGCCTTAAAAAGGGAAAAAGTCATGTTGCTGGCGCCCCCAAAAGTCAAGACTTTTAAAATAAAATTTGCTTAAATTGTCCGAGTACTATAGTCCATCCTATTTTTAAACTCTAGGCCTCAAAACTTTCTAATTTCTGGGTTTTTTTTAAGTTTATTTATTTATTTTGAGAAAGAGGGAGCACGTGCAGGGGAGAGGCAGAGAGAGAGAGAGGAGAGAGGGAGAGAAACCAAGCAGGCTCCTCATGGTTAGTGCAGAGCCCTACACAGGGCTCCACCTCATGAACCATGAGATCATGACCTGAGCTGAAATCATGAGTCGTATGCTTAATAGACTGAGCCACCCAGGAGCCCCTGTAATTTCTGTTTTTCTTTTTAACAAATATTTTGTCTTGAAGCCACTGATGCTTTAATTATTATTCTCTTATATATTGGATAAAGCAGGAAGTTCGAGTCCAACTATTCAAATGTGATTCCACCACTTTGTAGTTGTGTGATCTTATACAACGAGAAACTATACTAAGCTACTTTTATCTGAAATATCAGAATAATTGTTGTAACTCAAAAAGCTGTTGTGAGGGGAAAAGATAGTAAACCATCTGCCACCTGGCGTAAAACGGGCATCTGATAATTAGTAATTCCCTCCCTTTTCCCACTCTCAATTCTGGTCTTTTCAAATGGTCATTTACCTTGAACTCTGTCTGTCATTAATGTACAGGTTCCACTGGACAATAAGAAACAAATCAGTCTAAAGGATACTTTGAATAGAGAAGTAAAATTTCTTGGAGCAAGCATTCAATTAGGTTATAAATATCACAAAGAAACACATGTAATGATAGTTTTTGGAACATCTGCACAAACAAAATAACCATCTAAGTAAACAGAAGAGTAGGAAATGGTGATTTTTTTTTCGGCAGATATTTGGCTCCAACAGCCACTCTGATTTATGTAATTTTATCATTATGCTGCAACTGCTTTCATTCTGAATTATTCATTCAACATAAGCTAGCAACAAAGGCAATGTCTTTCTTCAGCTAAAAATTCTCTGACATTAAGAAGGCTGTTTAAATGAACCATGGAGCTTTCCTCCCCCCCCCCCCCTCCATTTTATGGTCTAAATAGATGTTGCTCTTGGACAAACCACATTCGGGGGGGAATTTATCACAGCTTTAAGAAAAGCTACACATACACTAATAGAATAGAATTGTCTTTGAGCCATGTCCTTGAATGGCCACTAATTTCTTTTCTTGGCTTCTTGCTTGTCTGGAGAGAGTTTCGTTGAAAGGCCTATAATGAAAATAACAGCACAAATATTGGCTTCTGCTGCTAAAGATACTCCAGATGGTTACATGTTTTTGAAAACGCATGTGCTCCTATGATTAGTTTTCTCAGCTTACACTTTCAAATATGAAATCAAGAAATAATGAATCATTAGTGTAATATTTTGCATCTTTATCAATAGAGCTCATATTAATACACGTAGCACATTGAAACTCAACCAATTGTTTTTTGATTATATATGTTATACCCAAATATTTACAGAATATGCAATACATATTCTTTGCACAAGGCAGCCCTTGGCTGTACCACATTGAAATTATGTAAGTTCTATTATTTAGTACTACTTTTTTACATTACTAAAAATTTAGATATACTCTTTAAACTGGAATTTTTTGTCTGTGTGAAAGACATAGCAATTTTCTATTAGTATTCTGTATTTTGATCTTTCATCTATATTTTAAAGGTGGTCCTATCAAGTTCATTTTTATCAACAGTAACTGACACAGGATTTGGAACAAAGACATGCTTACCTATTGAATCAATTAACTGTATGAGTCTCTGAGACATAAATCAAATATGTACAAAATGATGTAATGTGTTAAATAAATTAACTACTACTTGAGACAACACATACCAAGCTTCATGCTGAGTACCTAATACAGTATAAGCACTCAAGTAAAAGCTCATAATTACTATTGTGTATATAAAGTTTCTAATTATCCAAACAAAACATATGCTACAATAACAAACATATTTATTTATTATCTACTATGTTCTATGCATTAGGTTATATGCTTTCTATTTAATCATAATCTCATCACATGCTGAAAAAAGAATAGTTATCTTTAGTTTTTAGGTAAGGTAGCTCAGAGAGTGTAAGTAATTTGAACAGGACACAGAGAATCAGAATTCAAATCTGATTTCACCTAACATCCACTGATATCTACTGACCAACCAATCTCTATTGACCAATTGAGTTACTATTAGCAAAGTTTCAGTTTAACATACACATTGAATGAAATTTCTCTCTAAGATTTGAATGAATACATTTAATTCATTTATAAGATTTCAAATGTTAATGGTATAAAACATCCATTTATTTTATTCACAGATTCTGTGGGTCAAGAATTCAGTCAAGGCACACTCCAAGGGACTGGACACCGAAATGTTTCAGACTATAAGAAGGCTGAGCTGAAGACTAGAATTAGCTGAGGGCTGGCTCACTCACTTTTCTGGCAATTGATGTTCGCTGTTGTCCAAGGTCCACCTGGGGCCTCTCCAGTAGCCTGAACTTTACAGTAAGTGGTTGAGTTCCCAGAGTAAGAAAGAGAGAGGGTCAAAGAGATGCCATGTCCTTTTACTGACCTGGTTTCAGATGTTACAGAGCAGGGGCACCTGGGTGGCTCAGTCGGTTAAGCATCTGACCTCGGCTCAGGTCAGGATCTCACAGTTTGTGAGTTCAAGCCCCGCATTGGGCTCTGTGCTGACAGCCTGAAGCCCAAAGCCTGCTTCAAATTCTGTGTCTTCCTCTCTCTTCCCCTCCCTTGCTCACACTCTGTGTCTCTCTTAAAAATAAGTAACCATTAATTTTTTTTTTTTTTAAAGTTACAGAGCATCATTTCCTCCATAGTCTATTGGTTGGAGCAGTCACAAGCACACTTAGGTTCGAAGGAAGAGGAAATAAACCGCGCCTCTTGAAAGAAAGTGGCAATGTTCTGAAATAACGTTTGGAACCAGAAATAATCCTGTAGCAAATTTTGGAAAAATACCGTCTGCCACTCTTTTATAAGTAGCCATTATTTTAACCAAAGGAATGAGATATGCATATAAACACTAAGTGAAAATGCAATGGCCTAGTATGCTGAAAATGTATGAAGTTTTCCTGAATAAAATCTATGTTTAAAGCTTTGCCTTGTACAATATAGTAGACCAGTGCTGTCTAGTAGAATTTATATTACACATATCTAATGAATACACATCTAATATAAATTTATATCTAATGAAAAATGCTGTTTAGTTGTGTACAGTAAAAGTAAAGGGTAAGCCTTAGCTTGTTTTCGTAAACTGAGCTTTCCCCAAATGATTTTTGTAGGAAGTTATACGTGGCAATAATTAAATTATTATGATTTATGGAGATCACTAAAAACTTTAAAAAGCATGATCCAAATTGGGCTACTGTTTTGCTCTTTTTCCAAATTGATAGAATGGAATACAGAAAACTAGTAAATTTAATCTTTAAACAGCAGAAAAATCCACATAGGAAAATCCAAGTTGAATTTCTGTTTCAATCTTAATTCAAGTAACTCTTCTGATTTAGAGCCTGCCATTCCTTTGGAAAGACGTCATTATCTGTCTGTAATTTACTACCACAAATCCACAAAAGTGATCCCATCCGTGGATTTAGTAGGTGCAGATTTAAAGACAAATAATGTGGTTAATCTAACTATTGACTCAAATGATTAGTTTAAGTTACTATATCTGTTCATATAAGTAACAGAGACCAAATAAGAGTAGGTCATCAAGAAAGGGGTTATCATCTCTTTAACAAGCATACTGGAAGCAGAGGGTTTCCTGGGCTGGATAAAAGAAATCTAGGTGTTACAGACTATAGCTCAACTTCTCTGCTCTTCCTTTGTCCTCTCCTAATGGTCTCAAGAGGGTTGTGGTCATTGCAGATGTTATTTGTGGAATGAAAATATCCAGAATCTACGAGGAGACATGTTCTTGTTTTGCACACCTTTTTGAGAGTGATGACATTTTTTTCTATAAGCCCCTCAAATGTTTTCTACAGTGCTTTTTTTAAGGTTGCATTACACGCCTGTACTTAAACAGTCAGAGAAAAAGGAAGTTAAATGATCATGTGTGGCTTAGTCTAATCAACCTTTGTTTGCCCAGGGCTAGGAAGGGATCATGGTTAACATGACCCCTCAAAATGTGAACAAAATACAGGTCCTGATACCATTGAGGAAACAGAAGGAAAGTTATCGCATAGACGAGACAGTCCTCTCAAATTATAATGGTCATACAGTCATTTGGCGATCTTTGAAAATGCAAATTCTGATTTTAATACACTCCCAGGTGATGTTGATCATGCTAATTTGTGGATAACACTTTAAATAAAAAGGATACAAATTGCAAACTATATCACCTATTAATCCCTTTTTTCTTTTATTAGTGATGTCTTCAAGTGATGCAGAATGTTGATGCTGATATAGAAAAGTAAGAATCAAAACAATATGATAAGTCTTTGTTAAAATAGACCCACAAATCAGACCAAATGGATATATTTCAATATGTATAATATCATCTCATAATTAAATAGCACTTGTGTTTGTTATCCACACAGGTATATAAACTTACCCTTTACCAGCAAGCAATGGAATGGAATGTATAAGCAATAGCATAACATAAGAATGAAAAATATTTATGAACTTTTCACTCATAAAAGATTTTTCTATTGTATGTATCAAGTATAAGCCAAGACATAGTCAGAAGTGTTTTACACTTAACTTATCATGAGCTTTATAGGCATTCTATTATCTTTCGAACTATGTCTTTCAATCACTAAAATATATTGACTCCTTATGTTACCTACTTTTTAAACATTTATGTATTTATTTATTTTAAGGTTTATTCATTTTTCGGAGACAGAGGGAGACAAAGCGTGAATGCGGGAGAGGCAGAGAGAGAGGGAGACACAGAATCTGAAATAGGCTCCAGGCTCTGAGCTGTCAGCACAGAGCCTGATGCGGGGCTTAAACTCACAAACCGTGAGATCATGACCTGAGCTGAAGTCGGAGACTTAACCAACTGAGCCACCCAGGTGCCCCTTATGTTACCAACTTTAAAAACTGACTCCTGTCCCCAGAATAGGTTTGTTAAGGGATTTTTCACTTTTAAATTGCCTAATAATTGTTAACTATGACCAAAATGTGTATAAGTCATGAATCAAAAAGCCATGGTTACTTTCCAGAAATGTAACACGTCTTGACTAAATTCTTATCAGAAACCTGGCATCAACTTCATTAACCTCTAAATATATTACCCATCATATGCCAGAAGGTAATTTCTTCAAAGAAAAATAATTTTAGGATTATACATTTGGCCACTGGTACATTTTCATAACCAAAAGGCTTACAGTGGCTTATTCTTTTAAATTTTTTTAATGCTTACATATTTTCAAGGGAGAGAGAACGCACAAGTGGGAGAGGGGCAGAAAGAGAGGGAGACACAGAATCTGAAGCAGGCTCTAGGCTCTGAGCTGTCAGCACAGAACCCCATGTGGGACTTGAACTCAGAAACCATGAGATCATGACCTGAGCTGCAGTCAGCCGTTTAAACGACTGAGCCACCCAGGCACTCGGTGGCTTATTTTTTTTAAAGTCTGTAAGTATTTCTCAAAGTCCTAGTGCTTGGAAACACGGTATGTTCAGGGGCATTTTCTTACAAATGTGCTTCTTCTTCTTTTGTTGGCTCTTCCTCTGTATGGTAGAGATGGTCCTCACCATTTAGTACAATCCCTCTGTTGGAATTGCTGGCTTTTGTAATTAATCTTGTCCACTTGTATTTTTACTCCACACCTAGTGAAAGTGCTGATGTTCAAAAGGCAACCCAAGCAAATTCATTCCTCACAGGCAGCTTCCTGATTGTGTATAGTATTTCTCAATTTGTTGCTTAAAGGAAGTGTTCCAAGAGTGCCTGGGTGGCTCAGTCGGTTAAGCATCCAACTCTTGATTTTGGCTCATGTCATGATCTCAGAATCCATGGGATCAAGCCCCACGTTGGGCTCTGTGCTGACAGTGTGTAGCTTGCTTAGGATTCTTTCTCTGCCTCTCCCTCTGCCCTTCCCCTGCTTGCTGGTGCACTTTAAAAAAAAAAAAAAAAAAAAAAAAAAAAAAAAAAGAAGGAAGGGAAAGAAAAAAAGAAAGAAATAGAAAGAAAAAAGAAAGAAAGAAAAGAAAGAGTTCCAGGTTTATAAAATAAAGGAAAAGTGGGCAACTGGGGAAGTCATGTGTTTTGTCCCATGCCGTATCCATAGTATTCAGAACATCCATAACAGTGCCTGGCACCTAGTAGGTGTTCAGTTGGTGGTCGGCTGAATAAATATCTCTGTTTATATAATACAATATTCCTTCATTTATTCAATCAGGATTTTAAAACAATTTCAGGGGCGCCTGGGTGGCTCAGTCCGACTTCAGCTCAGGTCATGATCTCGCGGTCCGTGAGTTCCAGCCCCGCGTTGGACTCTGGGCTGACGGCTCAGAGCCTGGAGCCTGTTTCAGATTCTGTGTCTCCCTCTCTCTCTGACCCTCCCCTGCTCATGCTCTGTCTCTCTCTGTCTCAAAAATAAATAAACGTTAAAAAAAATTTTAAAAAAATAAATAAAAAATAAAACAATTTCATCTTCTTGGTAAAAATCCCACTAGATACAGTGATGAAATTTCAATAATTGACACATCAGCATGAGGGATATTTTTCCTATAGTACAGCATCTTCTTTGAGTAGCTTCGTGGAGTATTTTTTGAATAACTTTGTAATACTTTATATGCAAAGAATGTAATTTTCCTGCTGCCTCAATAATTGAGTATAGATGCAAAGGCCTTCAAATGTATACTTAGAAAAATATTTGTGCTGATTAATGAAGAACTTTGGAATAAGTTTTGCAAATACAGCTTTGAGAATTTTTAGCATCCTCCATTTCAATTGTATTCTGCACAAACACTGGTTCATGCAGTACAGGCAGTTCCCATTTCTCTACTGTTTATTCTGCAGGCAGCATAAAACAGAATAATGCTTTTTCATTATCATGATGTATGCAACCAAGGTGCCAAATTCCTAAATGAAGACTCAGCACCGAAATCATTGATCTTCTTAACAATGTCATATTTTACAATAAATTTTTAATACTAAATAATGATTTTAAAAGGAAAAATGAAGTGCTATATCCTATAATTAAATGTAAATATATTGACCAACATTATTGTGTGCCTCATACAATAATCTAACATTTTCTCCTTTCACACTGTTCACAGTTTAATGAAGTCCTACCTATTGAATTACTAAATACCATTAGAACAAAGAGACACCATGAGACAACAATAGCCGTCTCAGTTGAATTCACAATTGCTGGGTATTAAGTTTCCTCATTTGTGAATGACAATATTGGATTAATGTGACTGAATTTGCTAGCTATTGACCAAAATTTATGGTCCTCTTTCCAGAACGCAGAATTTTCATTGAAAGGCAGCTAGCTTTACACATGCATGTGTAGTCATGTGAAATGTGAACAGAAATAATA